GACAACCACGTGCTCGTGGCTGTGGCCAGTGAAGGGCAAAGACACCTGCGAGGAATAGCTTATGTTTGGGATCGCGACACCGACGAAACCTTGCTGGTACCTTGGACCGCTGAATACGAGGAGACTTACGATCTCGAATCGGACGACCACGGCTGGTATGTCGAGATGTGATTTACAGCTGACGTGGCCAAGGTCGGTCTATCAGAGCAAAAATAGAGTCACTGCACAGCGACCAAGTAACCAATATGTGTGTATATGATTCGGACGCAGCAAGAAGAGCTGCAGTTGTCAAGAATGACGCTCTCCTGATCAGGCAGAATTCAAGCCAACTTGACAAATGCATCTAAGGCTTTGTACACCGAGCTGAACATATGGTATGACAAAAGATGTTTCAGGATGTAAGACATCAGGAATGCTACCAACATCATGGCCTCTAGATGTGTCTACAAGTGGAAGTTGGCCAAGAACGGCAAAGGCGAAAAGGAGCGATCCATGCGACTCCGCCTTGTTCTCGGGGGCTGTAATTATGGGCCCCGAAGCATTCGACGCAGAAACCTTCTCAGGCACAGCTCGGCGAGCAACCCAGAGACGGCTCGCCAGCGCGGCCGCGTGCAAGAAACAGTGGGTCACAGCATCCATGGACGTCGACAAGGCTTTCTTGAATGGTCTGACTAGCCGTGAGTTGGCAGAGGCCACCTGCGAGAAAGAGCGCATGGCATGCTTCACTCTTCCACCTGTCTCAGCCTCGGTTCTTCGTGAGCTGCCTGGTTCTGTCCTTTGGCGAGTCAAAGCGCTGCCTTCAGTGCCTTAAACCAGGCGCACGTACCAAAGACGCCACTAGGGAAGTCTCACTGAAGCTCAGAACATCCTGCGAGGTTTCGGACTGAAGCCCACATCATATGATGAACAATTTTGAAACATGCCCAAACCTCCTGACAGCCAACCACGTTGACGATATCAACATGGCAGGAGTGGGGGAAACCACGGACAAATACGTCAGATGTGTAGAAGTTATTGCAGCGTGTACAGGAACCCACAAGCCCCCAAGTGCGAATACTTAGCGTTGCCACGCGCAAACTGCAGCACGGTCCGAATATAAGAATGTACTAACTGATGACTCCGACAGGAAGTGGACCTTCGTGGTGACTCAGGATACCGTCGCCTTAAAGGGGACGAATATTCCGACGTAAAGGGGTATGGCGTCCGAGGAGCTCCCTTTTTACTGCGTGGACACGCCCAACTGCAAAGCAGTAGTACACCTGATGGATGTATGCTGCAAGTCGCATCGCTCGCAGGTGCGCTCCGGCTACTCAGCTGAAGCACTGGCAGCCGCTCATCATTTTGTGGACTGCTATCCTACTGTAGTTACGCTGCATGGGCTTAATATTGGACCCCTTAACACCTAGTTTACTTCAGGACATGTCGGAGGTAGGTGGTCTCAGCAGTAAGATCATCCTTGCTACAGACGCTGAGTTGGTCTTCAAGTTCTTGCCGAGTAAGGACATGCAGAAGTCGACCGAACGTATCCTGTTGGGGCATAGCAGCCGGATGAGACAGATGATGGGCCGTGCCATAGTTCATCGCGTACACGGGTGTGATGCGCGATATATGACCGTGGACGGCCATGCCAGAGCTTGTATCGACCGTGCGTTGCTGCTGCAACTGATGGAAACCAACCCTTCAGCTACGAAGTGAAGACGTGCATGCCCAATCGACGCAAGAAAAACAGCGCCAACACAGGGGCGCCCTATCCAGGGCCAGTGGACACGAATGGGGACGACTACTCAAACTCAGACAAGTATTGATCTTTGCGCGGACACGGGCATGAATGTTTACAGTGTGGTCATCTTGGCCCGGCCACGGGCATAGATGCCCGTGGCGACGCAGCTACCATGAGTGCCCGAGTGCCTGGGCCTCTTTTTTTTGGGGGGGGGGGGAGGATTTTGTTTATTAAAAATTTCATGCGAACAATTGGTTTGAAGGCTTAATTCAGACCGTATGATAATATATATATATATATATTTATATGTATATGTAGTATGTATGTATGTATGTAAATATGTATGTATGTATGTATGTATGTATGTATGTATGTATGTATGTATTTATGTATGTATGTATGTATGTATGTATGTATGTATGTATGTATGCATGCATGCATGCATGCATGCATGCATGCATGTGTGTATGTATGTATGTATGTAGGTAGGTAGGTATGTATGTATGTATGTGTGTAGATATACATATATCATCATATCCCCGTGCCAGCTGCACGCTTTCACGACCAGCCCACTGGCTGGGCGTCCCCTTCTAATCGTCTGTGGGTGGTCAGTCATGTGGATTTGCCCGTGACTACCCATAATCGTCTGCGGCTGACCGTGGCCGCGCCATGACCAACCCTAATGCTTAGCGCTTCTTCTTCTGTGCCTTGGTACTGTATGCTGGTAGGGGTTTTGAATAACAACGTGCCTATCCTTTATTCTGTCGAAACTTCATTAATCAGGACTTTGATCCAGCGTTCGGTCCCTCCCCTCCCGACTTTCGACGAGTTTGGAGGGGGGGCTGTATAGCGAACGCTATATCCGGCGCTGTCTTGGCCCAAGACATCGCCTCAATTGGGATCTTAGCAACGGACGTAGGCCATGTCCCTTTATGGTGCATCTTTCCTTCCCATGGCTCCTCTCTTATCTGTCCTCTTGATTGCCATCAACGGATGAGTTGTGGGGTGCTTCGATACGTCGCCGACGTTATCCTGAGAGTAGGGTTCTCAGCTTCCTACCTCGTGGTCCAGCCCTGTGCCCCCACCTTCCACTCCAACGCCAGGACGAGAGCACCACTGCGAGACAGGGCAGTGGCCAGAGGCAGGGCGAGAGCACCTCCTGTGGGGGCAGGAGGTGCGGCCAGCTCCACGGACAAGAGCACCGCTCCGAGGCAGGGCTTTTCGGCGGCGAAATCTGACCCCTAGTCTCGCCGATGAACGTTTCAGGCGACTCGATGGGCGGCGGGGGTTGGGTTCGGCATTCTTCGAACACGTGGCAAAACCTGAACCCTACTTCCGCCTCCCTTCGATTCAGGAGAATCAATGGTTGGTGGGTATTCGGATCGGGTGTCGCTACCTAGCTTCGGCAAGCGCTCTGGGCGCAAGCGGCACATTTCGGGGCGTACACGTGGCCAGCGCCAAGGCGAGATCACCGATCTGAGGCAGGAGCGTGGTCAGCGCGGTGGCGGGAGCACCGCTCCGAGGCATAAACATTCGGAACTCCGCGACGATTTCTTTGGATCCGCGCTAGGCCCCGATGGCGGCGCCCCCGGCGCCGCCTGTGGCGCGCTTGGCGTGCTCAGCGCCTATTTAAGGAATCCGCACGGATTAGTAACAGTTCGTATTCATGCCACTGTTTCTCTCCCGAGAGGCCGGAGTGTGAGCGGCGTTCAGGCGGGACCACCGCTCTGAGGCAGGAGCGTGGCTGAAATGCTGTGGCCAGAGCGCCGCTCCGAGGCATCCACTTTCGAGCTTTGCGAGGATTTTTTGGATCTGCGCTAGGCCCCCCTGGCGGCGCCCCTGGGGCCGCTAGTGGCACCGAAAATTCATATTTGTGCCGCTGTTTCTTCCCCTAGAGGCAGGGGTATGAGCGTCGTTCGTGCGGGTCCACCAGTCTGAGGCAATACCGTGGCTGGCGCGGTGGCGAGCGCACCGCTCCGTGGCTGGGGGTGCGGCTGGCGCCAGTGCGAAAGCTTCGCTCCGCGAGGCAGGGAGGTGGCCAGCGCTGAGGCGAGGGCGTCATTCCGAGGCAGGAATGTAGCCCGCGGACACCGCGTTTACCGGCGCGGCACCATAGCCGGCCCTTCTCAAAAAACCCTTGGGGTTCGGGAGTTGTTTGACGAAGCTGGTCATCAACATCTTAGTTACATTTAGCGTCAACTTTTGATATGTAGGAAGAGGAAACAACATTAACGATCAATTTCGGAGCGGAACGGATGTCAGTATCAGCTCGAGTCGATAAGGTCGATGTGCAATCGGGCTCGTAAACACAATATTTTCACACATGTGCTTCACAGCGGTGTGAAAGCAGTTACACAACTGATCATAAAGCAGTTCGCATGGTTGGATATCATGAAAGAGCATACTTTGCCTTTTCATTCGGCTATACCTCTGCAGTTTCTATACATGTCGTCTTCGTCTTGACTCCGTTCTGTCGTGTCTTGGCCAGCATTTCAGGCAAGATCGAGTCAATGCCGCCATCGGAGCCTACGGTATGCTTCTCTTCGCTTTTGGCCCGACAGTCCGATGGCCTGGTCCCACGGCAGCCAGAGGCAAACTTGGGGATGGCGTAGGTGCGGGCACGTGTGGGACAGGGTACAGATGAGTTCCCATTTCGATTTTGAGTTGTGCCAAGTTTCCTGGACGCATCACCAGAGAGTCTAGCTATTCGAGTCTCGCCTCTCTTTGGAGCGTCCTCATCAACGAAGGATGTTGGAGGTCTTGTCTTCCCGAACGTATCTATGCATAGCATGCTCTTTGAGAAATGGAACATTCCCTAAAGCCTCCCTTGGGGTTGGGCGGATAGTGCAGACTCCGTGCGAGCGTCCGCAACATGCACGATGCAATGGTTCTGATATACCTTTCGTTGTCCAATTCTTCTGGTATGAATCCGTGGTGGCTGCCCGATGTTGAGTGACGATGCTTCCTCGTGCCCAGTACCCCAGCACCTCCCCAATCACCATTTTTAGAGCATGGCGTTCTTTTCGACAGCCCAGTTTTTGTGTCTGTGGAATGTTGTGTTTTCAAAGTTGCACCCGCAGTGACTGTGAGCCCATTCGGTCTCATGAGCTGTAGGTGTAGTTTGTATTTCCGGTCCAGTTGCCGCAGGGTGCCCATGTGAGGAAGTGACATAATTAAAAGTAAAGTTTTGATCGCACCCAGTGGGTGGTTTTTGAGATTCTCGAACCAAACTTTAGCAGCGGCCGAATTACCTGAATGCAGACTTTTCTTGACGTGTTCTAAGCACGTTTGGCTCAGTGATCATAAAACAGTAGTCCATGCTGGAATCATGTCGAGACTTTTCTCTCGCTGGCTTGCGACCGGTCCGCATACAACAGAGTTGCATGGCTTGCAACGAGACGGGTGGTATCGTTTCTAGAGCTGGGGAAGCATTAGCTTCTTGGCTCTGTGAGAATCCAGACCGAATTCCACAATGTGCATCAGTGTTGGAACTTGGTAGTGGAGCTGGTTTGTGTGCTGTTGTCTGTGCTTGCTTGGGTGCGTCTCGGGTAGCAGCCACAGATGGAGACCCTGTTGCGCTAGACTTGTGCATGGCCAACGCTGCAGGAAACCGCATATCTTCGGATATTTTGATGACGGCTTTCCCCTTGGAATGGGGTGACTGGAACTTGTCATGTTTGAAGACAGCTTTATCTTTTTTGGACGATAGCAACGCCTCACCCCGGATCATTGTAGCTTCAGACGCGTTTTACGACCGTGTAAATCATCGGCCATTTGAGCATACGCTGCGGGCATGCTTATCGCATTTACGTTTTTACGCATGCATTTTTGCATGGGAGGATGCTGATCAAGGTGAGGATGACTTCGTTTCGCAGCTCGGTTACCTCGGCGAGATATCGACCGTTTGGCGATCTGTTAGTGAGTCACGGGAGATTTGTATCGCTACACTGCACCCGTTCAATTTGGAGCACGACAAAGCGGACCCAGTCTCGTTGACAAGGTTCGGCCAACCTGACCTTGCTGCGTCTTTTTACATCAACTTAGATTCTCACCAGGTTCGCCGCGCCCAGATGGAAGAAACTGCAGTTCTACACGGAATTTATTTAGAAAGGCTGTCAGCCTGCACGCCCTCTGACGCCGTGGTTGCTGAGCTGGCTGAAGAGCTTGAGGTCGCTCCGAGCGGCGTGCTAGCAAATACTGCGTCACATGTCTTGGCATGGCGTCGCATCGCTGTCCTGCCTGACGATGCCTGCGCGCTCGTGCTTGAAGATGATGTTGTTCTGCATCGGCATTGGAAGGATCTTCTGCAGGCATCATGGGCGATGGCAGCGCACAACCTCGGCAAAAACGTCGACTTGTTTTATCTGGATGGGATTTTTGTGCGTGGCCTTACATCTGCATTGAATGGCTGGCTTGGCCCCACAGATGAAGGCGTGCATTTGGCAAACGGGGTGGCTTTTAGCAGCGCCTATGCGCTCGTTCCGGATGCTGCACGGTGGCTTTTGCGACGCAGTTCTTCAAAGCCTGGTTCGAGTGCAGAATCTTATTTGATGCAGCTTTCAGAGGAGAGGGGGGCATGCGTAATCAACATGCCGCGATTGGCGTTGCAGCGTTGGGACGAAACTGTCAGCTCTGTAAGTGGTGGCACATGGTCGGCCTCTATGGGAAAGTGGTATAAGGAAAACTACTTCCCACGTTATCCGTGGACGCTGTACACACAGTTGAATTGATTTGGTGTACAGGCTTCGTGAGTCCCCCGTGCCCGTGGATACAGCATCTGAGCTTTTGCGCCGTCAGTGCTCGGCTCAAGACGAGGCGCACTTGGAAGTCCTGTAATGTTTGCCGCCTTCACTGCATTGAGACGCCCCGTGCTTCGTATATCATCGTAATTGCGTCTTCAGAGTGCACTAGCGCGCTAGCGTCTGGTAATCGATGATAAGCGCCAGTTAACGCCGATCAGCGTCGATTGAGCGCCGATTAGCGTCGGTTGGCGTCGACCAGCGTCGGCTGGCGTTGTTTCGCCAGAGCCGGCCAGATGGCACGGGAGGCTCCCGTGAGTTGCCACCGAACCATGCCCTGCACACGACGTCGCTCGACCTACGCCTGCGCTGGAGGCGGCCGGACACCTCGACCTCGCCGAACGGCGGGGAAGCGCGGGCTGCTCCTCGCCTCGACGGTGCCCCGTCGGAGACCGCCGCGGCGGCTGGGCGAGAGGGGCCCGATCGGGGGCCCGAGAGGCCCGGAGGCACCACTGCGGCCGCGAGCCGGTCGCGATCCGGCCGCCGCGCGGCCGGGGCCCCGCGCGCGCAGGGCCCCGCGAGCGCCGAGCGCGCACGGCCGCGCCCTGCGCCCCCCAAACCGGGCCCGGGCCGTGGGCGGCCTCGCCCTGGCCGGGGCGAGGGGGGGGGTCGTCCGCGGGCGGGCCGCCCCGGACGGGGCGCGGGGCGGCCGGTCGCGGGCGCCCGACGGGGGGGCTCCTGCGCCGGAGGGTGCTGCATGGCGAGAGCGACGGCACGGATAGGCAGCCCTCCCAAGGGCACCCCTGCATCCTCGCCTCTTCGGGTCCGCGCTCCAACCGCCTGCGAAGGCCAGCCCCGCTCGGAGAGCTTCGGCAGGGGCGTCCACGGGGCTCGCATCCTCATCGCGCAGCCTTGCTGTCAGTTTCGGGGTGCTCGATCCAAGTCTGGGCTGTACTCCGCCTGGACTCGGCCTCTCCTGCTTGGATGTCGAGCCCGTGCGGAGCAAGTCCGCACGGAGTGCTCGGCCTCCGCCTGGGCTTGCTCCATCTGGATTCAAGGGCGCCCTCGAGGGCGCGAAGTTATTCGCGCTTCGCGCTTCGCGGTTCGGCTCCGATTCCTCATCCTCCTCTTCTCCCCTGGGAGGCGGCGCGAGAGCGCGAAGTTATTCGCACTTCGCGCTTCGCGCAGCGCGAAGCGCGAAGCTGGGAGCCCTTGATTTCGCCTCTTCTGACTTCAGGCGGTGGGGCTTCTCCGATGGGGGCAGGCTGGCAAGGGGGCAGGCGTATGCCGCGGCCCCCTGCCCCGAGTCGTGCGCGCGTCCTCCTGCTCCATCCTGCTCCTGCCCTGGCTGCTTCCCCCCCCCCCTCCGTCCTGGGGGCGCCCGAGTGGGTCCCTTTCTCCCGTCGTGCAGGGGGAATCCCTGGGTCTTGGGGTGAAGGTACTGGGCCCCGACTCTCGGGCGATCGCAAACATGGATCAAGGGGGCGTGGATTAGCGACGGGTCCCGTTTCCATTTGAAATCGCGGATTTCCGCCGCCGAACGAGGCGACACTGGCTGCATTTCGGGGAGGGGGCCCCGATCCATGGATTTGGCGACCGCGCGCCAAATGCATGGATCGCTAATCCATGTTTGCGCGCCCCCGAGACTCAGCCACCGCCCAGGCCAAGCCTTCCACACAGTTCACTCCGTTACGCCCTGGAGCCCCCCCAAATTCAGAAGTGGCGCTCTCTCCCGAGGCTTCCCCGCAGTTTGCTCGCATGACGGCCGCAGCGGCGCGGTGTGCAGAAATAGAGTGCACTGCCGAGTATTTCTCCCAGGAGCTGGTGTGAGAAGAAGCCTCTTAAGAATGGGCTTGGTTCGTAGACCTCGCGGGCGGGTGCAGGGGAGAGGGAGAAACAAAATAAGTCAGATCACATATTCGCGAGATGGTCGTCCTCCTCGTCGTCGTCGTCGTCGTCGTCGTCGTCGTCGTCGTCGTCGTCGTCGTCTCCCCTCTTCTCCTTCTTTTCCGTTCTGCTCCCGGTCCCCGTTGTCGTATTCGAATATTGTGGAGGGCCAAGTCCAGAAGACCAAGCTCCTGGCCTTTGCCAAATATCGCTTTCTCTTTCTAGCCGCAAGCGTCTGTGGACACGTCTATAGACCACGCGACCGTTGCGTTCGGCGCAGGACAGGGTCGGAGAAAAGGCAGATCCGTTCACGGTAGGTTTCTGCTTTCGAGCAGGTCCCACATGGTGTTCCAACAGATCTTCACGTCTACTGGAGAACAATGCGTGCCGATCTCTGGAAGCGGCTCCGTGCACTCCCGCCTCGCCGCTGGCTTCCTCTGAACACGCGTCGTGGTCCCGCGCAGGCCCTCTCCTGGCACCTTCCTGCGGTGTCGGAGCCTGGCTTCCGCCGCTCGCTGCCCATCCGTGCCCACGCCCGTTCGGCGTCGCCCCCTCGGTGCCGCGCCGTCGCCTGCCGCCTGCGGCCGCCGCTCGCCGCCATCTTCGGGCCCTCCCCGCGGGCGCTCGTCGGGCGCCGCTGCCCGCTGCTCCCCGCCGCGGCCCGCGGCCCCCCGCCACCTGGCGCTCCCCCCGTTTTCACCTCTTGGCCTTCAGGGGCACGCCTTTGTGCCTCGCTTCGCCCAGCGGTGGTTCACGCCTCTGGGCGTGCTTTCCGAACGGGCCGGCGGCATCTCGGCCCCCACCGCGCGCGAACGAAACAGTGTGTGCGTGCGTGTGTGTGTGTGTGTGTGTGTGTGTGTGTGTGTGTGTGTGCGTGCGCGCGCGCGCGTGTGTGTGTGTGTGTGTGTGTGTGTGTGTGCGTGCGTGCGTGCGTGCGTGCGTGCGTGCGTGCGTGCGTGCGTGCGTGCGTGCGTGCGGCCGTGCGGCCGTGCCGTGCCGTGCCGTGCCGTGCCGTGCCGTGCCGTGCCGTGCCGTGCCGTGCCGTGCGTGCGTGCCGTGCCCTGCCGTGCGTGCCGTGCCGTGCCGTGCCGTGCCGTGCCGTGCCGTGCCGTGCGTGCGTGCGTGCGTGCGTGCTGCGTGCGTGCGTGCGTGCGTGCGTGCGTGCGTGCGTGCGTGCGTGCGTGCGTGCGTGCGTGTGTGTGTGTGTGTGTGTGTGTGTGTGTGTGTGTGTGTGTGTGTGTGTGTGTGTGTGCGCGATCGTGTGTCTTTGGTCGTCTGTCTGAATGAGTGTATGTATATATTTACGTTTTTCCGATGGAGCTTGGGATCCCGAGGTCTGTTGATATGTAGCGTGTTCGCAGGCGGCGATCGTCAGGAACATTTGCTTCTGTGCTCGTTGGTTTGGGGGGCTAGTCAGTGTTCGGCGTTCGTCAGGCTACGCTCTTCTGGGCGGAATCGTGATGTGGATGTTCCTGTCCTTGATTTGTGTGTGACGTTGCGGGCGCTGGGGCAAGCGCCAGGTTTTGCGGAGTTGCCCGAGTATTGCGACGTCAATAGTTGTTGTTCGCTGGCTCTCCGCAGTTGTGAATATGCGGGTCTCAAAGGGATGTGTGTGTTGTGTGTTGTGTGTCTGGGGGCAGGGGGGGTCCGTGCGAGTGGCCAGCGCGGCGTTCGGGCTCGTGCCTTTCCGGGGCCATCGCTGCTTGCAAAGGCTGCGCGCTGCATGCAAGGTGAGAACATTCGTGGGAACAGAATTGGCTCCGCGCATGGGCCTGTTTGGCTATGGGGTGGGCGGTTGAATCAGATCTGCGTCTACTGGCGTTGGTGTGAGGGCGACCTCGTTGCCGACCCTCTGCCGCGGGGCTCGGGATCCACGCGCTCCACCTGGCATTGGCATCCTGCGGGGAGGTTGGGGGGCGCGGCAGTATCTCGAGTGGGCGTGTTCCTTTGCCAGATCCTCGCGGGTTAAGTCATGGAGTGTTATGTTCTGGCAAGCGGATTGTCACCTCGCTTTCGGTGTGTGCGGCGTTCCCAAGAACACCCGAGAAATGAACCCAGTGGCTGGTAGGGCGCCTTGGAAATGCCGCCCGCGTGCTGGTCACCGAGGCGTCGGTCCCGGAAGGCCCTGGCCGTCGTGTTGTATCTTGAAGCTTTCTGCGGGGCATCGTACGTCTGCGGTCGTGAGAAAGGGCGGGCGGGGGGGCGACGGGTGGGGGAACGAGGGGGGCGAGAAGGGAGCCAGCGAGGTGGGGAGGAGAGGCTTTAACGGGACCAGGCTGGCAGGAGGAGGATGAGGCGGAAACGGACAAGGAAGAGGAAGATGAGGAGGAGGAGAAGGCGGAGGAGGAGAAGGTGGATGAGGGAAGGCTGATGTGGGAGGGTGGTCGTGCAGGTGGTTCGTGCTGGTGATTATGTTCGCGGTTGTGCTCGCTGTTGTGTTGATTGTTGTGTGGGCGATTGCACTGGCGGCTGAGGTGGTGGTTGTGCTAGTGGTCTTGGCCGTTGTGGTGGTGTTGTGTCGGTGGCGGCTCTGGTGTTGGTGCTGCTGGTCGCGTCTGTGGTTGTGCTGGTTGTTTTGCTGTTGCTCAGGTTTGTGGCGGTTCACGTCGTTGTGCTTGCGTCAGTGCTGGTTGTGTTGGTGGTCGTGTTTCCGGTTGTGCTGGTGGTCGTGTTTCGGCCGCGCTGGTGGTTGTGCCAGTGGTTCTGCTGGTGGTTTTGCTGGTGGTTGTCTTGCTGGTTTTGGTGCGGGTGTTCGTGCTGGCTGTTGTGCGGGTGGTCGTGCTGGTGGTTGTGGTGGCGGGTGCGCTGGGTGTTCGGCGCGTGGTCGTGCTGATGGCTGTGCTGGTGGTTACTCCTTCGGGAGGGGGTCGCAGACGTCGGACCGGCCTGTCGTGCGTCGGTCGTGCTTCGGTGGTGCGTCGGTGGTGCGTCGGTCGTGCGTCGGTCGGCCGTCGTTCGTGCGTCGGTCGTGCGTCGGTCGTGTGTGGGTCGTGCGTGGGTCGTGCGTGGGTCGTGCGTCGGTCGTGCGCCGGTCGTGGGCCGGTCGTGTGGTCGGTCGGTGGGTCGGCGTTTTTGTTGGGGTAGTGGTGTCTTGCCCCAGGATGGGCAATGTTTCTGGATCCGGGTCCTTCCTCATCGTTGTCGCCCTCCTCCTTTCCCCTCCTCCGCTTTCCCCTGGTCCTCCTGCCCCCCCCCCCGGTCCTTCCACTCCACTCCCCTCTGCCGCTGTGCGTCATCATCTTCTTCCTCCTTCCACATCCTCCCTCTGTTCCTCTGGCTCAGCTCCTCTGCCTTGCCCTGGTCCTCCTGCTCCCCCCCCCCGTTCCTTCCGCTCCAGTTCTTGCTGTTGCTGTTCGTGATTGTCCTCTTCCGCCTCCTCCTCCTCCTCCTTCTTCACTTCCTTGTCCGCCTCCTCCTCCTCTTCGTCCTCCTCCTCCTGCTGCTCCTCCCCTCCTCCTCTTCCTCCTGCAGCACAGTGTGGCGGAGACAGAAGCCACACTATCTTCTCCTCCTACTCCTCCTCCTCCTCCTCCTCCTTCTCTATCGATCTCCCTTACCTTCCTCACACGTAAGTCTTCCCTGTCGCACCCCGAGGCTGGTCGAGAGGGCGGGCTGGGCGTTCCGCCCGGAGCTCCCCCACCACTTGCGATCCTGAAGCTTGCAATTTGCAACAGTTTCATCATCGTCCTGGGGGAGGAGGAGGAGGAGGAGGAGGAGGAGGAGGAGGAGGAGGAGGCGGAGGAGGAGGAGGAGGAGGGCGGGTCATTTTCGAAATCTGGCTCTCGCCTTAGCGCCGCGCACAATCGTCTAAACAAGTGGCAACGGTTTCACGGATGGAGTGCGGGTCGTTTGCAAAATGCGGCTCTCGCCTCAGCGCCGCGCGCATTCGTTTTAAGTCAACATGGGCATGAGTTTCGCGGATGGAGGGCGGGCCGTTTTCAAAATGCGGCTTTCGCTTCAGCGCTACGCGCATTCGTTTCAAGCAATTGCAAGGGTTTACTGCAAGGGTTTCACGGCTGGAGGGTGGTTCCTCTTCAAAATGTGGCTCTCGCCTTAGCGCCGCGCGCATTCGCTTTCAGAGTTTGCCATATTTTCAAGGGTTCCCAGGGGGTTAACGTCCCAGAAGTTATGCTTTGACACGATGTCGTAAGGTTAGGGCGCAACAGTCATGTGGATTCGCGGTGTTGAAGTCCCAGGGACGGTGCTCTGGCACGATTCGGGGTCGTCAAGAGGCAACAGCACCGGTGATTCGCGGCGTTGACGTCCCAGAAGCGGTGTTCTGGCACAGTTCTGGATTTTCAAACGGCTGTTTTCCAAGTCGGCCCTTCCCTCAAGGAAAAACATGAACCTTCGCAGGGATTTATGAGAAGGGACCTTGGAGGGAGGGTTTATCGCAATATCGTCGATGAGTCTTGTGTTAACGCTGGTTCTTCCTCCTCTTCCTCCTCCTCCTCCTCGTCTTCCTTTTCCTCCTGTACGTTGGTTTTGTACAATGCAAGACTTGCACGGATTAAGAGCGGGTGTGATTCAAAATGTGGTTCTCGCCTTTAGCGTCGCGCGCACCCGTTTTTTTCAACAATTTGCAAGAGTTTCGCGGATTGAGGGCGGGTCGTTTTCAACATGTGGTTCTCACTTTAGCGCAGCGCATTTTTCTTTTTAGTCAATGCAAGAGTTTCACGGATGGATGGCGGGTGGTTTTCAGGGCCTTAACGCCGCGCACACGTGTTTTAAGATTGTGCGAGGGTTTCACGGATTCATGGCGGGTGGTTTTCAGAATGTGGCTCTCGCATTGATGCCGCGCGCACTCGTTTTAATCATTCGCAGCAGTTTCACGGGTTCCCAGGGTTACCTTTCCAGAATTGTGGCTTGGAGTAACTCAGGATTGTCAGGGCGCAGCGGTT